TTGGACACACACACACTCACTGACTGTCTGTCATTAACTAACCTGTGAGGAAGAGTTGGACACACACACACTCACTGACTGTCTGTCATTAACTAACCTGTGAGGAAGAGTTGGACACACACACACTCACTGACTGGTTTTAATGTGTCACTCTTTATAACACACTGTAAAACTATTTACATGACTAATGTAAAATAAACACTGTGACTGGAAATAATCAGAACATTACTGCTTATTTAATGAACACTTCCTTTTTTATTTAATAGATTAAATTAATAATTAATAGGTTAAATTCATTCATCATTAATACATTTCTAAAGTTATGTAAAATTAGTGACATTAACAATAGAAATGTTTTATAATTAGTCAGTGTAATCAGTGAGGCCCCGCCCCAGAAACAGTCTGTTTTCAACCTAATTCTTGTCTCATCTGTGGTCTGATAAACAGTAAATGAAGTCATTGAAGTGTCCATATCACTATTGTCCTGGGTTCATCTACAGTAGGTTAAACAATGATAGATACAGCTACTGAGGCACACACACACATCTCTCCTCACACTGCAGATCTGCCACAGCAGAAGCTAAAGTCAGGTGGAGAAAGAGCCAACTGAGTCCTGCCTGAGTTGGAACTGATGAACTGTCTGTATTTGTGACTTTAAAAATAGGATGATGGTGGAAACTATTTTATTTAATTTACTATTCCACTGTTTAATGTGTAACCTGCACATTAAGGTGTGTGTGTGTGTGTGTGTGTGTGTGTGTGTGTGTGTGTGTGTGTGTGTGTGGAGCCTTTATTGTTTGACACTCTAACATTACATTAAACAGCTGGTGGTGGTCTGGGATCAAACCCCCGGCCTGAATTATTGTCACAGTCCGCCACTGGTTCTGGTTCTGTAGTTCTGGTTCTGGTACCAGTGAGACCAGGTTGTGTAGTTCTGGTTTGGTGGTGGCGGTTGTGTGTTTGGTTTGGTGGTACCGTGGACCGGTTTGTAGTTCTGGTTCTGGTTCTGGTACCAGTGAGACCAGGTTGTGTAGTTCTGGTTCTGGTTCTGGTACCAGTGAGACCAGGTTGTGTAGTTCTGGTTCTGGTACCAGTGAGACCAGGTTGTGTAGTTCTGGTTCTGGTTCTGGTACCAGTGAGACCAGGTTGTGTAGTTCTGGTTCTGGTTCTGGTACCAGTGAGACCAGGTTGTGTAGTTCTGGTTCTGGTACCAGTGGGGTTCTGGTTCTGGTTCTGGTACCAGTGAGACCAGGTTGTGTAGTTCTGGTTCTGGTACCAGTGAGACCAGGTTGTGCAGTTCTGGTTCTGGTTCTGGTACCAGTGAGACCAGGTTGTGTAGTTCTGGTTCTGGTTCTGGTACCAGTGGGACCAGGTTGTGCAGCTGTTATAAAAAATAAAAGTCTCTTGTTGCTAGGAGCGGCAGCCTCCTGCATCCTGCGCTCTGATTGGCCCGAGGTGAAGAGCTGCGGGCCAATCAGAGCGCAGTGCGTCCGCCATGAGAATCCGTAATCCCTGTTCTTCTTCTCTTACTACGAGTTCATATCTGACGTTCAAATAAAGCTGTTTGTGCGCATGCTCCCTCTCATATTGATCCCTCTGCTGATCAATAATGTGATCCCCTCGTACAGAGTGTGTGTGTGTGTGTGTGTGTGTGTGTGTGTGTCACTGCAGAGGCTGCTGGCTGTTTTATGGCAGCGACGTCAAGTTAGATTCAAACCGGAACACACGGAACTTCCGGTTTAAGTTAGCTCGTTTTTTTTCTTTACAAAATAAAAGCTTACAAACCAATGATCAATAAATCCAGGTGAACTCTGCTTTAATCCAATAATCAGACTTACATTTACAGCAGAGTGCTGTTATTATTGGATTGTTATTATTTTAATGTGAATGTTAAAAGTTATAGAACTGTAATAAAAGTTATTATCTGTGTAATTACAGTAACATTTATTCAACGTTTCTGTTGTGAAAAGTTAATTATTAAGATATATTTTAATTAACAAACAAATCCAAGTAGAATAACAGAACAAATATATTTCATTTTTATTACTAATTTTTAGAGACATTTAGAAACGTATTTAAAGTATTAAACTTGAATTCAACAGTTTAATCTATTAAATTAACAGTAAACGTTACAGATTTTATGTTACAGTAAGATAAAGTGTAAAACTTTTAATCTCTTTTAATGAAAATACTGGATCCAAACATCCATAAACATAATAAATTCCCGCACTGTTGATAAACAGCTCTTATTTTGAAATCAACATGAGCGACGAGGCGGAAGTGTGTCGCCTCGTGCAGCGCGTGCTTGACGTGGCGCTGGCGCTGATGGCGGCGGGGCTCGCGCGGAGGGTCGCACCGAGGAGGCGGGCAGAACCGGAGAGAGGAGGCCCCGGCGGTACCGAGCACCGACACACGGACACTGAACACACCGACAACCGCAGCACGGAGGCCGGCCGACGGCCACAGAGGAGGACGGGCGGACGGACGGATGGATGGAGCGGTAGGTTGTTGTTTACCGGGTACCGGGTACCGGGTACCCGGGGGGTCGTTAACGGCAGCTGGAGGGTCCGTCTGCAGGAATATAAATACACAGTCTAAATATAAATACACAGAGTACTGCAGTCAGTCACTGAGCCACAGGGAGTTATTTATACTGTCAATGAGCACATATCGCCAATATGTGATCAATAACGGGTCTTATGGGGGGGGGTTAACGGCCCCCATTAACACACAAATAACACCTTGTTTGTTGTTTGTTGTTGTTTTCTTTTCTATCACTGACAGATATTTTATGTTTATTTAATGTTATATTGAACAATAAAAGCTGATTAACTGATCAATAACTAACTGATCAATAACTGCATCAGATTCATTTACTGATGCACTTAATACGACTTAATAAGATTCTGGATCAATTCAGTGTTTTTATTCTTCTGTTGCTCTTTGGTTGTTTTTATCTTAAATAAAAATATAAAGATATTTATTTTATTTCGGCTGATGGTAAAAACATTATAATATATATAATATAAAATATAATATTATATATAATATATATTATATATATTATTTCATATTTACTGTGGGAATTAAGAAGTTATTATTTAATTAGGAAATTATCAGAACTTTATTTTTTACAAAATAAATCCTTAAAATCAGTGTTTTGGTGTTTGTGTCGATCTGGAAGCTCTTCAGTGCTTTATTATAAACAACTGCAGCTCTTTAATGGTTCACATTTCATTCTGTTTTATTCACAGGAACAAACAAACAAACAAAACGCTGCATAAAGACCGACTGTGTTTATTTTTAACCCTTTAAGATCCTCAGTTATATTTAACACAAACACTTTATTTCTTTATATTTTTATATCAATAATCAATCATTGTGTCTTCCTGTGAAACTAAATGTGACGCGAGCTTACGTCAGCATGAACTAACTGATTTCAACCAATAATATCCTGATACTCACCCGTCAATCAATCTTCAACTGTTAGTGACACAGAGTGAAGACTCATTAGTTAGTTAGCTAACAGCATGGTGATTTACAGAGTTTCCAGATGGACTTGTTGCTAAAAGAAGCTAAGCTAACCACTGCTGTGTTGTGTGAGGCAGACAATATAAAATAATCTGATTGAATATACTTCCTGTGGTACTCGGTGTTGTTCGTGTTGGTACATATTTTATTTGTAGAGATTTGTTTCATTGAGAGTTGGTGGGAAAAAAATGGAAAGAAAACCAAAATAAATGTGGTGCACAGGCGGGTTTGTGTTGTTCTGATGTTCTCAGAGTCAGTGGCAGTTTGGTGGGAAACAGACGGACTGAATAGTTCAGTGTGGTGGATCCGAGTCTCTTGGCGTTTGCTCTCCTCGGTACTGAAGTGTTGTTGTTTGGCAGAAGATTAGTGTCTCAGTGAGCTACAGCACATAACTCCTCAATAAACAGTGTGTAAACTATATTCTATATGTACAATCAATAATCTATAATCAATAAACAGTGTGTAAACTATATTCTATATGTACAATCAATAATCTATAATCAATAAACAGTGTGTAAACTATATTCTATATGTACAATCAATAATCTATAATCAATAAACAGTGTATAAACTATATTCTATATGTACAATCAATAATCTATAATCATTAAACAGTGTGTAAACTATATTCTATATGTACAATCAATAATCTATAATCAATAAACAGTGTGTAAACTATATTCTATATGTACAATCAATAATCTATAATCAATAAACAGTGTGTAAACTATATTCTATATGTACAATCAATAATCTATAATCAATAAACAGTGTATAAACTATATTCTATATGTACAATCAATAATCTATAATCAATAAACAGTGTGTAAACTATATTCTATATGTACAATCAATAATCTATAATCAATAAACAGTGTATAAACTATATTCTATATGTACAATCAATAATATATAATCATTAAACAGTGTATAAACGATATTCTATATGTACAATCAATAATCTATAATCATTAAACGGTGTGTAAACTATATTCTATATGTACAATCAATAATCTATAATCATTAAACAGTGTATAAACTATATTCTATATGTACAATCAATAATCTATAATCATTAAACAGTGTATAAACTATATTCTATATGTACAATCAATAATCTATAATCATTAAACAGTGTGTAAACTATATTCTATATGTACAATCAATAATCTATAATCATTAAACAGTGTGTAAACTATATTCTATATGTACAATCAATAATCTATAATCATTAAACAGTGTATAAACTATATTCTATATGTACAATCAATAATCTATAATCGTTAAACAGTGTATAAACTATATTCTATATGTACAATCAATAATCTATAATCATTAAACGGTGTATAAACTATATTCTATATGTACAATCAATAATCTATAATCATTAAACAGTGTGTAAACTATATTCTATATGTACAATCAATAATCTATTATCAATAAACAGTCTGTAAACTATATTCTATATGTACAATCAATAATCTATAATCAATAAACTCTAATCCACTGTTTAAATATTGGTGGTTTTACTACCAGCTAGCTACAAAGTTACGTTCATGAAAAGCGTAACAAACATCGTAACAAACATCGTCACAAACATCGTAACAAACATCGTCACAAACATCGTCACAAACATCGTAACAAACATCGTCACAAACATCGTAACAAACATCGTAACAAACATCGTCACAAACATCGTCACAAACATCGTAACAAACATCGTCACAAACATCGTCACAAACATCGTCACAAACATCGTCACAAACATCGTAACAAACATCGTCACAAACATCGTAACAAACATCGTAACAAACATCGTCACAAACATCGTCACAAACATCGTAACAAACATCGTAACAAACATCGTCACAAACTTCGTAACAATAGTTGAAGATGTTTGCAGCTGTTGATTTACAGAAATAAAAAATCTTAAATTGTCGTATTTTTTCACGTTAATAATGTAAAAACCTGCTCGTAGCAACCGCTAACTGCCGCTAACTGCC